CACATAGGGACACTGCGGGGTGCAGGGGATACCACGGGGACATGCAGGGACAATGTGGGTGCAGGGGACACCGTGGGGACACGCGGGGACAATGCAGGTGTAGGGGACACCATGGGGACACGCAGGGACTGCGCGGGGACAATGCAGGTGCAGGGGACACTGCGGGGACACCACGGGGTGCAGGGGATGCGCGGGGACACCACGGTGACACTGTGGGGTGCAGGGGACACCATGGGGACGTGCAGGGGACACCACGGGGTGCAGGGGACACTGTGGGGTGCATGGGACACCACAGGAACACGCAGGGACAACGCGGGTGCAGGGGACACCGTGGGGACACCACGGGGACAACACGGGTGCAGGGGAGGCTCGGGGACATGCGGGGACAATGCGGATGCAGGGGACACCGCGGGGACACGCAGGGACAACGTGGGTGCAGGGGACACGTGGTGACACCACAGGGTGCAGGGGACACCGCGGGGACGCACAGGGACAACATGGGTGCAGGGGATGCGCGGGGATGCGAGGGGACATGTGGGGAAAACGCAGGTGCAGATGACACCGTGGGGACACGCAGGGACAACGCGGGTGTAGGGGACACCGCGGGGACGTGCGGGGAAAACACGGTTGCATGGGACGCCAAAGGGTGCAGGGAACACCATGGGGACACGCGGGGACAACATGGGGACATGCGGGGACTATGCGGGTGCAGGGCACACCACAGGGATAACACAGGGACGCGGGGACACGTGGGGACAACGTGGGTGCAGGAGACACCACAGGGTACAGGGGACACCGTGGGGATACGCAGGGACGACGCAGGTGCAGAGGACACCAAGGGGACAACATGGGGACACGCGGGAACAGCATGGGGACAAGGGGACATTATGGGCACTGGGGGGACACCACGGGAATTGGGGACACCGTGGGGCACAGGGGGATGTTATGGGCGTTATGGGGACACTGTGAGCGTCCAGGGGACACTGTGGGCATTGAAGGACACTGTGGGCCCCAGGGGGACACCACGGGCATTGGGGACACCGGGGGGACACTGTAGGCGTCAGGTGGACACTGTGGGTGTCAGGGGGACACCACGGGCATCGGGGACACTGTGGCGCACAGGGGGACAGTATAGGCATCAGGGGGACACTGTGGGCATCAGAGCGACACCACGGGCATCGGGGACACCGTGGGGCACAGGGGACACCGTGGGGCACAGGGGGTTACTATAGGCATCAGGGGGACACCGTGGGTGTCCGGGGGACACTGTGGGCCCCAGGGGGACCCAATGGGCATTGGGGACACCGTGGGCCTCCGGGGGACACTGTGGCCCTCAGAGGGACACTGTGGGCGTCCAGGGGACACTGGTGGGCATCAGGGGGACACTGTGGGCCCCAGGGGGACCCAATGGGCATTGGGGACACCGTGGGCCTCCGGGGGACACTGTGGCCCTCAGAGGGACACTGTGGGCGTCCAGGGGACACTGGTGGGCATCAGGGGGACACTGTGGGCCCCAGGGGGACCCAATGGGCATTGGGGACACCGTGGGCCTCCGGGGGACACTGTGGCCCTCAGAGGGACACTGTGGGCGTCCAGGGGACACTGGTGGGCATCAGGGGGACACTGTGGGCCCCAGGGGGACCCAATGGGCATTGGGGACACCGTGGGCCTCCGGGGGACACTGTGGCCCTCAGAGGGACACTGTGGGCGTCCAGGGGACACTGGTGGGCATCAGGGGGACACTGTGGGCCCCAGGGGGACCCAATGGGCATTGGGGACACCGTGGGCCTCCGGGGGACACTGTGGCCCTCAGAGGGACACTGTGGGCGTCCAGGGGACACTGGTGGGCATCAGGGGGACACTGTGGGCCCCAGGGGGACCCAATGGGCATTGGGGACACCGTGGGCCTCCGGGGGACACTGTGGCCCTCAGAGGGACACTGTGGGCGTCCAGGGGACACTGGTGGGCATCAGGGGGACACTGTGGGCCCCAGGGGGACCCAATGGGCATTGGGGACACCGTGGGCCTCCGGGGGACACTGTGGCCCTCAGAGGGACACTGTGGGCGTCCAGGGGACACTGGTGGGCATCAGGGGGACACTGTGGGCCCCAGGGGGACCCAATGGGCATTGGGGACACCGTGGGCCTCCGGGGGACACTGTGGCCCTCAGAGGGACACTGTGGGCGTCCAGGGGACACTGGTGGGCATCAGGGGGACACTGTGGGCCCCAGGGGGACCCAATGGGCATTGGGGACACCGTGGGCCTCCGGGGGACACTGTGGCCCTCAGAGGGACACTGTGGGCGTCCAGGGGACACTGGTGGGCATCAGGGGGACACTGTGGGCCCCAGGGGGACCCAATGGGCATTGGGGACACCGTGGGCCTCCGGGGGACACTGTGGCCCTCAGAGGGACACTGTGGGCGTCCAGGGGACACTGGTGGGCATCAGGGGGACACTGTGGGCCCCAGGGGGACCCAATGGGCATTGGGGACACCGTGGGCCTCCGGGGGACACTGTGGCCCTCAGAGGGACACTGTGGGCGTCCAGGGGACACTGGTGGGCATCAGGGGGACACTGTGGGCCCCAGGGGGACCCAATGGGCATTGGGGACACCGTGGGCCTCCGGGGGACACTGTGGCCCTCAGAGGGACACTGTGGGCGTCCAGGGGACACTGGTGGGCATCAGGGGGACACTGTGGGCCTCAGGGGGACACTGTGGGTGTCCGGGGGACACTGTGGGGCACAGGGGGACACGGGCCCTTGCTGTCCCCAGGCCTACGAGCGCGGCATCGCGCTGTTCCGCTGGCCCAACGTGGCGGACATCTGGCACACCTACCTGAGCAAGTTCACGGCGCGCTACGGCGGGCGCAAGCTGGAGCGGGCGCGGGACCTGTTCGAGCAGGCGCTGGACGGCTGTCCCCAGAAATACGCCAAGAGTGAGCGCGCCGCGCGGGGACACGGCGGGTGGCACCGGGGGGGACGGGGGGCACCTGGTTGGGTGGGTGATGCTTGGGTGGATGGTGCCATGTAGGATGGGTGGCACCATGAAGGGTGGGTGGCACCATGTAGGGTGGGTGACACTTGGGTGGATGGCGCCATGTAGGGTAGGTGGCACCTGGTTGGGTGGGTGACGCTTGGGTGGGTGACACTTGGGTGGGTGGCACCATGTAGGGTAAGTGGCAACTGGTTGGGTGGGTGACACTTGGGTGGGTGACACTTGGGTGGGTGGCACCATGTAGGGTGGGTGACACTTGGGTGGATGGTGCCATGTAGGGTAGGTGGCACCATGTAGGGTGGGTGGCACCTCGTTGGGTGGGTGACACTTGGGTGGGTGGCACCATGTAGGGTAAGTGGCAACTGGTTGGGTGGGTGACACTTGGGTGGGTGACACTTGGGTGGGTGGCACCATGTAGGGTGGGTGACACTTGGGTGGATGGTGCCATGTAGGGTAGGTGGCACCATGTACGGTAGGTGGCACCTCGTTGGGTGGGTGACACTTGGGTGGGTGGCACCATGTAGGGTAAGTGGCAACTGGTTGGGTGGGTGACACTTGGGTGGGTGACACTTGGGTGGGTGGCACCATGTAGGGTGGGTGACACTTGGGTGGATGGTGCCATGTAGGGTAGGTGGCACCATGTACGGTAGGTGGCACCTCGTTGGGTGGGTGACACTTGGGTGGGTGGCACCATGTAGGGTAAGTGGCAACTGGTTGGGTGGGTGACACTTGGGTGGGTGACACTTGGGTGGGTGGCACCATGTAGGGTGGGTGACACTTGGGTGGATGGTGCCATGTAGGGTAGGTGGCACCATGTACGGTAGGTGGCACCTCGTTGGGTGGGTGACACTTGGGTGGGTGGCACCATGTAGGGTAAGTGGCAACTGGTTGGGTGGGTGACACTTGGGTGGGTGACACTTGGGTGGGTGGCACCATGTAGGGTGGGTGACACTTGGGTGGATGGTGCCATGTAGGGTAGGTGGCACCATGTACGGTAGGTGGCACCTCGTTGGGTGGGTGACACTTGGGTGGGTGGCACCATGTAGGGTAAGTGGCAACTGGTTGGGTGGGTGACACTTGGGTGGGTGACACTTGGGTGGGTGGCACCATGTAGGGTGGGTGACACTTGGGTGGATGGTGCCATGTAGGGTAGGTGGCACCATGTACGGTAGGTGGCACCTCGTTGGGTGGGTGACACTTGGGTGGGTGGCACCATGTAGGGTAAGTGGCAACTGGTTGGGTGGGTGACACTTGGGTGGGTGACACTTGGGTGGGTGGCACCATGTAGGGTGGGTGACACTTGGGTGGATGGTGCCATGTAGGGTAGGTGGCACCATGTACGGTAGGTGGCACCTCGTTGGGTGGGTGACACTTGGGTGGGTGGCACCATGTAGGGTAAGTGGCAACTGGTTGGGTGGGTGACACTTGGGTGGGTGACACTTGGGTGGGTGGCACCATGTAGGGTGGGTGACACTTGGGTGGATGGTGCCATGTAGGGTAGGTGGCACCATGTACGGTAGGTGGCACCTCGTTGGGTGGGTGACACTTGGGTGGGTGGCACCATGTAGGGTAAGTGGCAACTGGTTGGGTGGGTGACACCACCAGCCCCCGAGCACCCAAGGGTGACACCCGGGACCCCCCAAGCCCCGCGCGACGCCAACCTCCCCCCTTGGCGCGACGCCCAGGGGCGGCCCGTGGCTGAGCACCCTTGGGTGCCCGCAGCCATCTACCTGCTGTACGCCAAGCTGGAGGAGGACTTCGGGCTGGCGCGGCACGCCATGGCGGTGTACGAGCGGGCGACGCGCGCCGTGCTGCCCGCCGAGCAGTACGACATGTTCAACATCTACATCAAGCGCGCGGCCGAGCTCTACGGTGTCACCCACACGCGGCCCATCTACGAGAAGGCCATCGAGGTGGGGACGGGGCGGGCGCGTTGGGCTTGGGGTTGAGCTTGGGCTTGGGGTTGGCTTTGGGCTAGGTCTTGGCCTTGGTTGTAGCCTTGGCCTAGGTCTTGGCCTTGGGCTTGGGCTTGGGTTTGGTCTTGGGCTTGGAATTGGTCGTAGCCTTGGCCTATGTCTTGGTCTTGGCCTAGACCTTGGCTTTGGTCTAGGTATTGGCCTCAGTCTTGGCCTAGGTCTTGGCCTTGGTCGTGGCCTTGCCCTAGGTCTTGGCCTTGGCCTAAGTCTTAGCCTAAGTCTTGGTCTTGGCCTAGACCTTGGCTTTGGTCTAGGTATTGGCCTCAGTCTTGGCCTAGGTCTTGGCCTTGGTCGTGACCTTGGCCTAGGTCTTGGTCTTGGCCTAAGTTTTGGCCTTGGCTTTGGACTTGCCCTTGGGCTTGACCCTGGCTTTGGTCTAGGTCTTGGCCTTGGTTGTAGCATTGGCCTAAGTCTTGAGCTTGACCTTGGCCTTGGCCTTGGCTTTGTTCTAGGTATTGGCCTTGCTCTTGGCCTAGGTCTTGGCCTTGGCCTTGGACTAGGTCTTGGTCTAGGTCTACATCTTGGCCTTGGCCTTGGTTTTGGCCTAGATCTTGGCCTTAGCCGTGGTCTATGTCTTGGCCTAGACCTAGGTCTTGGACTCATGCTAGATCTTGGTCTTGGCCTTAGCCTAGGTCTTGGCCTTGGCCTGGGTGACGGTCATGGCCTTGGCCTTGGTCTTGGCCTAGGTCTTGCCCTTGGCCTCGGTCTAGGTCTTGATCTAGGTTTTGCCCTTGTTCTTGGTTTTGGGTTTGGTCTTGAGGGATGTCACATGGGTACGGGGTGGATGAGAGGTTGGAGGAGGTGACGCCTGGGGACTTGGCCTTGACCTTCGTCTTGATCTTGGACCTGGCTTTAGCCTTGACCTTGGGCCTTGTCTTGGTCTTGGCCTTGGTCTTGACCTTGACCTTGGTCTTGATCTTGGACCTGGCTTTAGCCTTGACCTTGGGCCTTGTCTTGGTCTTGGCCTTGGTCTTGGCCTTGGTCTTGATCCTATCGAGATGTGGTGGGGCCTGGTGGGGCCGTGGCGATGGCAGGGGCGGAACGGGGCCGTCCCGGCGGGGCTGGGGCACCCATGGGTGCTGCGCGGCGCCCGCAGGTGCTGGCGGACGAGCCCGGGCGGGGCCAGGGCCTGCGCTTC